CCCCAAAACCCCAAAACCCCAAAACCCCAAAACCCCATTCAGCTTTGTTTTTATTGAAATTTAATTCATTCTCGATAATTCTTCAAATTTCAAAATGGCGACCCAACTCTTGGTCCAAATCGAACAGAAATACAAACAAATGGCTGCCAAAGTAGCAGAGTACGAGCAGAATCAGCCCAGAGTCGAAGAGTGTGCTCAGCTCAAGGCCCAACTAGGTATGTAGGTGTCTTAGTGTTCTAGAACAATCAATGCAGCAAACAGAAACCCTTAAACAGCAATGACAGAGTCTGCAAGCAGAACTCAATGCTTTGAAGCAGCAGCAGAGTGAGGCCCAATCCAAATAAACTGGGTATGTTTGCACACAATTTTAGAGGCCGAGATCGAAAGCAGGACCAGAGCTCAAGACCTCTGAAAGTGTCTGGCAGCTAAGCTTCATGAAGTTCAGAAAGACAAATAAGGCTTTGCACAACGATCTCGTGAAAGCCAAGGATCACATCAAATCGTTGAAGGCAGAGCTCGGTGAAGGAGAGAATGCTCAGGCAAAGCAAGCCGATGAAAAGTCGCATCTTCAAGAGAGGACCAAGATGCTTGCTAACACCAACTCGAAGCTTAAGAAAGAAGTAAGTCTAACGTTGCATTCTCATTCATCTAGTTGGCTGTGAGTGAGGCCAAGCTGACTGAGGCTCAGAAAGAACTGGTCTCGAAGAACAAGCGACTCGAAATGTTTAGGAACTACAAAGACATGTTCAGTTCCATCCACAGGAGTCTCGAAGCCAAAGGCAAGACGCTCACTGCCAAAGTAAGTTTGGACTTATCTTTAGGTCAACACTCTTGAGCATACTGAGTCGATGCTGGTCGATCTGCAGGCAGAAAATTCTTCTCTTGAAATGAAGAACTCTCAGGTTTGTTGGTTAGTCCGTAATATGTAGCTTCAGTTCAAGATCCAGAACCTGACCAGGCAACTTGAGGCCACTAGAGGTCCAGCCTTGATCGAGCAACAAGAGCCAGAATAGCCACTTTCATATTTCAACACTTTCGTTAATAAAAGGGGTTTTGGGGTTTTGGGGTTTTGGGGTTTTGGGG